GAGATTTGGTGTTGCAGATATATCGTATTGTAAGCGATTTGGTGTACAGAAATATCATATTGCACAAGTTTCGGTGATGCAGACATATCGTATTGCAAGCGATTTGGTGATGCAGACATGTCGTATTGCATGGATTTTAGTGGTGCATTATATTTCTCTAATGACTTAACGTTGATATACAGAGACAACTTTATCTGTTTTTTTTTTTTTGGTTTGTAAACGATCTGTAGTATCTGTGTTCTATCTCATGTTTCTCAGAATTGCAATTCCAGAAATATTGACTACATATGATTGAACTTTTATCTAATGAAAATAATGGTATCAAACTAGCCAATAATAAAATAAATAGTCAACCGGACAGTTTAAGGTGGTACCCAATACCTTGACTAAAATTAATTTGGCTCGTTTAATTTTCATAAAATTTTGACAAAATATTTACTTTGCAAAAAAATTTCAAAATTTCAAAAAACTTGAACCAATTACTTCTCGGAAAAAATTGATTGGATATATAGCAGTTTGAAAAACACTAATTTTGATCATTGAGAACCCTTAATAGTTCCTTAACAATACAACGTGATTAAAACGTTTAGCTGAATTTACAGAGTTATCTCCCTGTAGTGTTAGGTACCACCTTAAATCAACGCATTACTAATAAGAAGTATGTATATCAAACCGATACCAAAACAGCCACAGTTTGTAAATAAACTCGTTATAGATACCAGGCTACAAATTTTGTACTCTTGACGCGCTATGTGTCTACAAAATTTTCATCCGATACGCTCGAATAAAAAAGGTTAAAAAGTGAAAATGAAATAAGTTTGTACAAGAAAACCATTAATACATTTTACTTATCCCCTTGGTAATCCTATCAATCGTGAGATTTTGGAATTTGGAACCAGCTGTTCATTGTCCTACCAAAATATTTCTTATTTGAAAATTTCTTACCGCAGGTGGTTCATTAGAAGTAGCAGGAAGTTCTCTGGTATCAATCTCTCCAACAGTGTCAACGGCCCGTTTTTGTCTTCTCCCGTGATGAAGTCTTTCACTTAATAGTTCAAGTAGTGTTGTAAGTTTCCTTCTGGACACGGACTGAAAGAAGTAAAATATAATCAGATACGTAACTTATATATCAATCAAATAATAATACATTTTGGACGCTGGATATTTATCAGCACGAGAGATACTAATAATATGTCTTTTCAATGAACATTATGCTGATATACCTTAAATACACACAGATATTGCTCGACATAAAGACAATTTATTCACATCCGCGAAAAATACGCAAAATAACAATCAAATTAGATATATTCGTAACGCTTGTGTTATCATACGACAACAATCAGCATAGCAAAACGAAGGCATAAAATTCTATAGCAAGGTTTGTTTTAGGTTTTGGCTTCTCAAAAATTTTGCCTCGTAATAAATATACATAATTTGTCGAAATACGCATCTGCTTAAGTAAAACTGGTACCGTTCATGTTATTGCATTGTAAAACATTGCACTGAATCCTTCTTTCTATTAAACGAAAATGTCGCCTGCTAACACTTTTTAACGTGCTTCTTAATCAACAGTAAATGTCATTATTGTTATTCATTTAACTATTGATAAACTCTTGAAAATATTATGCCTCCATTTTAATACACATATTTAATCCCCCATTTCCTAAAACTGATATGCTTTGTACCAATTGAATCATAATTTTGGAAAATTTATGGAAAACTTCAATATTATCTGCATTGAAATATTACCTCCTTGTTTTAAGAATATACACTGAGTTTAGTTTAAAACAAGAATGTGTCCATAGTACAGTGTCCATAGTACACGGATGCCCCAATCGCACTATCATGTTCAGTGGACCGTGAAATTGGGGTCAAAACTCTAATTTGGCATTAAAATTAGAAAGATCATATCATAGGAAACATGTGTACAAAGTTTCAAGTTGATTGAACTTCAACTTCATCAAAAACTACCTTGACCAAAAACTTTAATCTGAAGCGGGACAGACGGACGGACGAACGGACGAACGAACGGACGGACGAACAAACGAACGAACAGACGAACGGACGCACAGACCAGAAAACATAATGCCCATGAAAGGGGCATAAAAATAGAGCAGAAAAATGTTCTTAGCATGACATTTGACAGAAAGTGTACAATGAATGTTGAATAACATTTTAAAACCACTGATATTTATGTTTGAAGGATTATATATATATATAAGTATTTGCAAAATCGAATTAATAAAATATTTTAACAAACTATATTTATAGATTATCGTTGGTCATCTCAGCGAGATTGATTTTCTCGTTTGAGCCGGTACGTCGAAAGTGAGAAAAGCAATCGAGTTGAGATGACCAATGATAATATGTTTATTGCTTCTTTGCCTATGATGACGTTGATGTTTACATTGACTAAGGCACGTGCTCCTTAGTTACTAGCGATAATTTTTCATATCACTCTACTGTGCTGAGAAAGGAAATTAAAAGTCAGTAAGATCAAAGGAAAATTTCCGTAAAATAGCGATAATAGTTGTTATTTCATTCAGGGTAAATAACAATTCTACATATACAAATACATAAGTCCTTATTGTATTCATTGAATCACATTTCATAGAAACTTTGCATCGCCTTAGTTGCTTCTTCAGTAGAAAAGGCAACCGTACTGAGAAGAAAAAAAACTTCATATCGGTATATAAGCATAGTTTAATTTGAAGAATAAACTTACTAAATTAGAAGAAAGGTTAAATTTTTCATGTGCAGCACTAAGACAGTCAGTCTCAGTTAAATCGCCATTTTCAATTCGTATCATTACTTTTTTGCACGTTTCACCCTCTCCAACACATTGACCTACTTCTCCTGGTTCAAAATCGTTCAGGTCAGACAGGAATACGGCAAGGTACCTATTTACAAAAAAAAATGTCAACACAAATACAGAACACTTTAGGGGACCTTAATAGCCAAATTCACTTGATACCAATTTACCTGAGGGACTTGGAACCTTAATTACACAAACAAAAAAATGTAAGTTTATTAACGAAGTAGTTACGTAAGAAATCATGTCGTGGACTGGCGGTCACCCAGCAGTAAATTTTAAATTCTTACATTGTGTAACTACATTTCAACCTGCTAAATCATCATATATCCTTGGTGTCATTTCCATGCCCTTAGAGGTATAGAACGACTAATTCGGGGCCGGTCAGGAAAAAAACATACAAGAAAGTAGTATAAATTTTAAACAAAATAGTTCCTGCGCAGAGCTGTATCTTTGTCAATCAGTATATATTTAGTTTATTTTGGTATGAAATGAAAGCTTAGATACTTTGGATCACTGTTGAACCCTTGTTAAAAGTATCTGTTGATTAATAAATATTTATATATGAGAATATCATTGGAGGACACATTTGTCCTGTTGTTCAGTTCTACTTATCTGTTTACTATCAAACTTCCATGAACCAGTGCGCTCTAATATGCAATTAAAGGTATGTTGAATTTGCCAGCACAAGTCAGGATAAGGTACAGTTTTGACATGAAATGACTGCCACTTTAGTTGAACTTCAAGACAAAGTAGCCAATAATGCTTTAAATTGCAGAATTTCTAACGCATGAAATCTATAACGTGTGGTTTTAATTTTTACATAGAAAGCAATGGGGATGTGAGCTAGTGGTTTTATTCCTAGAGGAATTTGCTTGATGTGTTATGCTTATAAAAATGTAAACGATAAGTGTTGGCCATTTACATAACATGGACAAATAATTTGGCACTACACACTTTAGAATAACATAACAGCATTAACAACACAAACCCAGTATCGGAATCGTAAAAGTAGTTTCCGATCGCATCAACGTCGCTTAGTGACTCTACGGCTGCCCATTTCACCATTCCTCCAGAAACTCTAAAAGTAGCATCAGATGGGATACACAATCCTAACCGTACACCTTGTGATCTGAAAGATGAGACAAAGCATGTGAAAGGACATATACTGTATAAAGATTGATCCAAAAGGTCATTAAGCAAAGAGCTTATGTATGGTATTGCTGAAAACTGCATTTTGCCCTATACATGTTGTTTGGTTATAGTTGTCATTGGTTTGACTTCTGATTGTTATATCAACTATAAATAGATTTTTTATAATATATTTTGACAGATACATCAGCCTATAGTTGTATAATATGTCACGAATGAGGAAAAGTGAACAGAATTGAAATATGCTTTATAAAACATCAACATGTTATATCAAGTGTTTGTAAAAGTTGGCATTTTGCTACATGTGATATTTGAGCAGATTTTAAACAAACTATGTTTACATACTATCAAACTCTGTTGATTTAGAGATGACGAATAAATTTGATATAAAATTGGAATGATCATATAGAATCAAATCAGCAATCATGCACGTGAGCGTCATTGTGAGTCAATCTGGGTAAATAACATTAAAAGAACGAGTTAGCTTTGTCATAACTTTGCCAAAAGAAATATCATCAAAAACAAAAGTTTCATATCATTGGACAAAAGACATTTTCGCGAAAGATTAAGAATAGAACCAAATGAACAATAGGAAAACTTTCTACTTTGGTTTAATTACTTAATACATATACGGTATCCCACTTGAAAACCTTCCTCAGTTGTATAGTCGAACATATAATTAGAAAGTCAATAGATTGACACCTAACGGCACAAATAATTAAACAACAGTACTTTTTCATGTAGTGAAACTTGCTTTGACAATCCGATCATTTTATATAAACTTCTTTCGAATTTGTAATTTATTTTTATTCGTTTATCGATGGTTGTTTGTATGACGTCTACTGTGAAATTACTTTGATATCCCAATAATTTTTAAATTAATTTCTTTCGGAACCTTTTTTGACAATCCGATCATTTTTTATATCCTTCTTTTTACAAGTTACGTTGACAATTCGCCTATTTTTATGTTAAATTCTTTCTGAACGTTCTTTGAGAATTTTTTCATTTTATATTAATTTCTTTCGAAACTTACTTTGACAATCCGACCATTAGTATACCGAATTCATTCGGAACCTCCTCTTCAAAAAACATAGAATAACTGTAACTTTCTCCTGTAATGACGAGAAAGCTGGCATCATCTGGTGAATCCGCATCCACTCTGGCTGTCTCGTAATCATCGTCCCTTGTCATCGTTAAAACGTTTTCTGAGGAGTACTTTATAGCTAACTGTAATAAACAGTAATTTGCTTTTTTAGAGATTTTCACAGTTCGCCATTACAGAATCGAAAATATTCTGATAATATATTAAGGTGGTACCCAACACCTTGACTAATATTAATTTGGCTCGTTTAATTTTCCTAAAATTTTGACAAAATGTTTACTTTGACCCTTTGACAAAAATATAAAAATTTCAAATAATTTGAACCAACCACTTTATCAGAAAAATTTCACTGGTTATATAGCAGTTTGACAAACACTAATTTTGATCATTGAGAAGCTTAATATTTCCTTAACAATACAACGTGATTAAAACGTTTAGTTGATTTTTACAGAGTTATCTCCCTGTAGTGTTAGGTACCACCTTAAAGAGTGTACATCTTCATTGTATTTGCTTTCATTGTTATATCAAGACGATCAATACCGTATCGCGGGTTATTTTCGCGGGGTGTAAATTTTCTCTTATTTTCGCGGATAGAACAAAATCGCCAAAATAAATTCCGCTAATTCCAAAGTGTACATGCAAAGGTATTGATAAAAGTTTTGAATCCGCCAAAATAAGAACCGCCAAAATATTTCGTATACCTTATTTAATGAAAATCGCGAAATTTTACACCCGCGAAAATAACCCGCTATACGGTATTTAGCTACTGTAAATAGAAACTTGTTTTTCTTCCATATATTCTAAATAAAACAATTAGTTCTTACAATTTGACATTTCATAAACGGGAACATCTTAGGTACACAACTTCTTCAAAGTTGATTTTCAAAGTCCGAGATCATGGAAATTCGACCAAGTATTACTGAGTATTGTGTCTTTTGGGGGATTCATTTTACAACTATTGTATTTTCTATATGTATAAATAAGAAGATGTGGTATTAGTGCCAATGAAACAACTCTCCATCCAAGTCACAATGTGTAAAAAGTAAACATTTATAGGTCAAAGTACGGCCTTTAACACAGAGCCTTGGCTCACACCAAACAGCAAGGTATAAAGGGCCCCAAAATGACAAGTGTAAATCAATTCAAACAGGAAAACCAACGGTCTTATCTATACAAAAAACGAGAAACACTTATGAACCACACCAACAAACGACAACCACTGAACAACAGGCTCCTGTCTTAATTCAGGAGCCTGTACTTCAGTGGTTGTTGTTCATTACTGTTTTTTGTATTTGTTTTTCGTTTATTGATTTGTATAGTATGTTCTTGTGTTGTGCCATTGCATCATTGTCCATGCTAGGGGATGCTATGCGACTTCAAACATGTTCAATCCCATCACATTCTGTATGTGCCTATCCCAAGTAAAAAGCCTGTATTTCAGTGGCTCTCGTTTGTTGCGATAAGTCATATTTGTTTTTCGTTCTTTGTTTTCTTCATAAATCAGGCAGTAATTTTTTTGTTTAAATTGAGTAACATTTGTCATTTTGGGGCCTTGAATACCAGACTATGCGGTATGGGTTTTACTCGTTGTTGAAGGCCGTACGGTGATCTATAGCTATTAACTTCTATGTCATTTTGACATTGGTGGAGAGGTGTCGCATTGGCAATCATACCACAAATTCAAATTCTTATATATACATGTGCTTGTGCCGTTTATTCTTATTTAATGGAATCATTAATGCTATCGCGTTATATATGCTACATTTTGTTATGCATTATTTTTCTTTTCATTCTCTTCAAATTCATACATAATTTAGTTTTTTTTTTTTATCAATCACCTCTTATGACTCTGGTGGATCAAATTTAAAGCCTCATATCTTCATTGTCTTTTTGTATAATTGAATTTTCATTTTTAATAATGCTACACTGATGAACAAAATGTTAACCACTTACTTTACCGAAAGCATGTTCACAGTATCCAAAATTCCAATTTGACCTAATCTTACACTCTTCTGTCATATGGAAGGCTTCAGGACTTAGAACTGTAACGACTGAATCATCTGATGCTTCAAGTTCCGTTACCGAGTTATCCATATCTCTGAATGATCGGATATCGTCACCAGTTCGCTGTGTTTCATCCTGACGAGTATCTTTGACTCTGTTTCCTTCGCTTGGCTATGGTAGAAAAATACATTTGTATCTAAAGGTGGCTAGAAGTGTACCAAATAATAATCTTATACTGAAGTCTGTAAACATATCTGAAAATCTAATATTATACAAAACATTTTTGCAAAACAATATGGCATTTATCGAGAGCAAAATCCCTGCAAATTTTTTTCTTAATAATATTTTATAAACCAATAACCCGTTTTTAACTTTGAGGGTACTCGTTGGTCTTGTTAATGACTTTTTGTCTGAAAGTCTTCTATCCTTGAAGAACTAATATAAGCATTTCCGCCAATTCCTACGTTTCTTTTCATAACTTTATTACATATTGTTTTGTTATCATATAAAATCCTTGTTAAAATTCATAGTTTTTAAAGAAAAAGGTGCAAACGTTATATGTTTAAGAAATCAAAAAAGAACTATTTCCTGCAAAAGTTTTAATGGCTTATATCTCAATTATTGTTGATAGTTATCGTCAATTGCCACATATGTCAAAATTTGTGTGGAACAGGATCTGCTTAACCTTGTGGTGCAACTGAGATATCCCCCGGTTTTTGGTGGAGATCACATTGCTCTAGTCGTAAGGTGTTTTTTTGTTATTCATATTCTGTACAGTTTGTCTATTCGTCGTCTTTTGTTTTCCGTTTTTTTGTTTGCATTGTCAGTATGTTTTTGAATTATGAGCTTGATTTTTTGTATATTTTGCCCTCTTCTACGGCATTCGCGGGCGGTTAAACGTACAATCCTAGTTAATTAAAAAAACAATTGGAGTTCAACAGTCTAACCAGGCTTTCGTTGGCAGTAAAACGTACATTCCTAGTTAATTAAGAAACAATTGGAGTTCAACAGTCTTACAAGTCTTTCGTGGGTAGTAAAATGTACAATCCTACTTAATTAAAAAAAACAATTAGAGTTCAACAGTCTTACCAGTCTTTCGTGGGTAGTAAAATGTACAATCCTACTTAATTAAAAAAACAATTTTTCACTGCATTGAAGACCCATTGGTGGCCTTCGGCTGGTGTCTACTCTTTGGTCGGGTTGTTGTCACTTGACATATTCCTCATTTCCATTCTCAATTTTAATTGGAGTTCAACAGTCTTACCAGGCGCAGTGTTCGAGCTCACAACCTTAATATAGACATGCTATTATCACTGAACAAATTAAAACACTCGGCTACCATGGCTCCTTTTAAAACAATCAACTTACATCAGAAAAACCAAATTGTGCATTAGTAATACTGTTAAAAGGGGATTGTCTGTCCAGTTTATTCCAACCAATGGCTCCCATTTGGTAATATTCGTTATCAGCAAAACCATCAAAGAAAACATCTGTTACATAAATGGGCCCTCTTCTCAGGTTGATTGCATTTCTTGGATTGAAACTTTGCATCCTTACAATTTAAATCAATATTATCAATTTATCAATATATATATATATAGAGTAATTATGTATATATATAAAGCAACAAGGAACTGTTCTACACATGTTTACAGTTGATTCCATTTCCTGAATTCAAATTTTGTAACGTAAAAGTTAATTTAAAAATACAAATTTGTATATCAAAACAAGTCCGTTTTCCAAAGGTTATCACATTTCGTGGCTTGAAACTTTTTATCCTGAAATGTTCAATTAAGTCGAAAAAGATTACCTATAAAGAATATTCTTAGCTATACATCAGATTCGAAATCCAGTTCATATTCACAAATCCTATTCAGTTTAGCAATAACATTCAATGTTTAGTTAACCAATTTTGCTTCTAATTTCAAAATATTTTGCTTTGAGAATAATTATTAAGTAGAACATGCGGTGTTCCCTATCTAAATTTATTTGAATCGGCATGTCTCAGCGTACTTTGACATAAGTTATAATGTAGCTATATAGGTTTTTTTTGTACGCCTTTGTTTGGATTACCTGTATACTACAAATGTAGGAACTTTTAATTCTTTATCATGTAAAAATTCCAGTTTATCGAACCTAGGGATTTGTTCCCTTTGCAGATACTTGAAAAAGTGAATGGTAATTGGAAAAAAGGCTAACTTTATCCCGTACTATTGATCACTTGTTCTCAACTGTTATACCAGTTAGAGATTACGCTGACTATAAAACCACGTTAAGCCAACCTGTTTCGACGGAAAATGCCTGTGCCAAGTCAGGAATATGACGCTTTTTTCCATTCGTGTCGATGTTATAAAAAATAACACGTTTGATTTTGTCAGTTTTGTATAGACTTTCCCTTTCTGAATATATCTTGAAGTCCCGTATTTTTGTTATATTTTTTCCTCAATTAAATTTTCACATTAAGTGTTCAATTAGTTTTAGTCGTGTCTACACCACCGCTCCTCAATTTACCGTTCCCATTCAATAATTGTGATAATTTAACAGTATTTCTGTTTCTTTATAAATCTATTCAGAGATGCTCGAGGACTTGATAATAAAAACTCAAATACATACAAGTGAGAGGTTTACCTAGCTATAAAACCAGGTTTTATTCTCAATTTTCTACATAAGAAAATTCCTGTACCAAGTCCGGAAGATGACAGTGTTATCCATTCGTTTGATGTGTTTGAGCTTTAATTTTGCCATTTGACTACGGATTTTCCTTTTAAATTTTCCTCGGAGTTCAGTATTTCAAAACATAATACAAAAGATTGAGTGCTTATACCATACTAATTAAACGTTTCTCCCATCCCCGGACAAGGAATCAGAGATACGTTCCTAAATTTTAAACGTTTTCCACTATTTCATTACAGCAAAATTCAATGAAATAATGTATCAAGTTTTTTTTTGGTCACTCTAATACCGAAATACAATACTAATAGTTAGAAATATATATAAAGGCAAAAGTAGTATAAACTATACCAATTGCAATGCACAAGATACGTTTAACAGAATTAATTTGCATCTTTAGAGGTGATCGAACCTTATCATGCTTATACATATATTTCATTATAGAAGCCAGGACTGAAAATCTGTATGCCAGACGCGCGTTTCGTCTACAAAACTCTCACCAGTGACGCTCCAATCAAAAAGTTTAAAAGGAGCAAATTTTTTTCCATCGCATCAGTGTTCTTAAAGCTATCATTACTTACATATTTGCAGGAATCATTGGTAAAGATCTTCCAATTGATACGGGTTGACCGTTAACTGTTGCTGTCTCTCCAAAATTAGGAGAATCTCCTATAAATACACTCTGGTCTATGAACTGCAGTGCAGTATTCTCTCTAAAAATATCATATACAGAATCAAACGATGTAGCATAAGATAAATAATCGACCACCGATGAAATTAAGTAAAACAAAGGAACAGGTAAATTTCAATCAAGTTAATATCGACTACATATATGCGTAAAATTCATTTCAACTGAAAATTGTCATTGTTATTAAATTTAAAGTAATAAAAGCACAGATTAGTTATCCCAAATAATGAAGTGGCAATTAACCTTGACTGTATCATTTTTTCTGCACCAGATGCGCATCTTGACAATAAACGTCACTTCAGTGATGCTCCAGACCAGATTATTAAATCCAAACCTTATTAAAGAAATGAAGAGTTTCTAAACCAAAGAGGACAGCAACGGTCGCTAAACCTGGACAAGGAATCAGAGCTTTGCATGTGGGAGATGTATTCTTTGATTTAAAATAATTTGCCAAATTTGGCAACATCAACTTTTAAAAAATAATATTCGTATGTGTATACCAGCCAATACCGAAGTACTGGCTACTGGGCTGGTGATACCTCTGCTGGTAAAATGTAGGTCCTCAAGGGTATCTTTTTTGATAACCAATGCATTTAATTCGTATTTGTAGTTTTCAAATGACATTCATTTTATATTTATTTTTATAATGATAATGTCGCTTGAATGTCATTCATTATAAATTCGAAAGCTTCAAAGGAAATTTGAATGAGAGTAAATTAATCTGGTGAAAAAAACACGAAATGAAACATGAAATATTCTATATAATAGATGTGTAAAAGGGTAATAGTCTGTTTTGACAGTGATATGTCTCATTTTAATAAAACAGAGCTAATGTGGAATTTTTTCAATAGCAACACATAAAGATGAAACGTTTCTATAGGCATTGACTGGAGGGTTGAACCCAAATAATAATGATATTAAAATTTAATATGCTAAAGCAAATACCCACAAAGCAAATACCATTGACTCACATTTATGGTTCATCTTAACTATTTCAATCACAAACCTAATCACAAATCTATGGAACGTTTTCAATATCAGTTTGCCATGACTGAGGGGACGGACTACGTGATGTCCATGGCAATCACATTGGTCAATGATAATACAAATGCTTTCTGTTGTTGATACAGTCGAGCGATTGGTTTTGTCAGTTTTTTTGCCTTTCCCCTTTTTAAATTAATCTTGGAGATCTGTGTTTGAGTTATTACTCGTTTTCTAAATTTTATTAACTTCTTACTTATTCCACTTAAACTGACTTAATTATAGTATCTTATTCAAACAGCCTATATAATTTACGTGATAAATATACATATATACAATTAGCATTGCATCAGTTAATATATACGCATGATTATATAATCACAAATTTAAACAACTGTTGACGCCGGAACCATACACATAAGTCTTGCCTCAACTACTTCACCATGTTCATTGAAGGAGAAAAAATGTCATAAATAATAGAATGATCACGGTATTTGATAGACACAAAACAAGAACATCGCTTTAAGAATACACACAGCTATTGAGAGCATGTAAGTGAATTGCGATAAAAAAAATAGCTTATACATTTCAATTCAAATGTGAAAATGTAAAAAACAAAATTGAATAATACTTAATTGAATTGTTACCCAATATTTAAAACGATATAAAAAAACTATTATGCAAGTTTCGGGTGTGATTATGTGAGTGCGTTCATACGTTCTTTTATGTAAAACCTATTTTACACGTGTTCTTTTATGTAAAACTTACTTTACACGTGCTCTTTTATGTAAAACTTACTTTACACGTGTTATTTTATGTAAAACTTACTTTACACGTGTTCTTTTATGTCAAATTTACTTTACACATGTTCTTTTATGTAAAACTTACTTTACTATATTAAGTAACTCAGCACTGTCTGATAACCTGTAAATAAAGGCAATAGTAGTTAACCGCTGTTCAAAAATGAAGAATTTATTATACATATATCATAGTGTGCCAAATAAATTTGCTGTAATGCAATTTGGTAGAACTAAGACGTGATGTAAATAAGTTGACTGATAGAAAAAAAAAGAAAAAATAGGAAATTATTCATCTACATTTGTAGTGCATTTATACGATTTCAGTATCGCTTAACTACTGACTAGTCTTCAAAAGTACAAAACTTATTGACCTTTTTGCTTTTCGATCTTAAAGAGAATGTTATACAACGAAGGGAAGCATCACAAAAATTAAACAATTTATCCTAGCTCATTGATTCTATTGCAACAAATAACTGCAGTGACAAATATCAGACAAAATGCAACTTCATGTATCCTGTAAAGAAAAGACAAATGAACAATTGATATTTGCAAATAACTGCATCCCCATTATGCTTGTATCCGATTGATAACACTTGTTTCTAAACTCTTCAAATAAAGTCTTCAATGGGGAATATTTCCGTGCATAAAATATTCATTTTTGAATTAGAGATGCTAAAGATACCAAAGGGACATTCAAACTCATAAGTCGAAAATAAATTAACATCGCCATAGCAAACATAAAAAAGACCAAAAGATAAACAGTGTACAAAACACCACATTACACACTAAAGACTGAGAAATATGAACTCCACTAAAAAACGGGGGTAATCTCAAGTGCTCGGGAAGGGTTAGCAGATCATGAATGGTAACTTACGATGCACGGACTATTTTGAACATTCCTCCTCTAATCCATGCGTTTCTGGGAGAATTTTTGTACGCTAAAATGGATGAAAAATGTCTGAATTACATCATTTTGTTCGTACCATATCATTTCATTAAAAAATCGTATAATAGTATATAATAAACACAATAAACTCATCATAGATACCTGGATTAAAAATGTGCATGCCAGACCCGCGCTTCGTCTACAAAAGACTCATTAATGACGCTCGAATCAAAAAACGTTTAAGAGGCCAAATAAAGTATGAAGTTGAAGAGCATTTAGGACCCAAACTTCCAAAAAGAGATGCGAATTATAAGTCAAAGAAAACATTGTAAGAATATAGAAATCTATTTAGTCTACAACACTAGACTAGAGAAGTTAGAAATATTGAAACAAGTACTACGCAAAAATGTCCTTTACCAAAATGGATAGAACATTATCAAGATAATTTTGGTTAACTGAATTTGCAATATCATATATCAATTTTATGATTTTCTTTTTATTTCAAAATCCTAATTCATAGTCTGAATCTTTAGACGCAAATCAGTTGTCCTTGTATAAGTTTAAGCAAATTCAGGAAAACTAAATATTCGGCCATTTTTTTCATTTAGAAAAAATCACAAAAAAACTTAAAAGTACCTAAAAATAATTACTGTTGAAACCTCACATTTTTAAGTGGATAAGTCACACGAGAGACTCTTGTATCAAAGATTTCACGTCATCTAAAGTTATTAAAAACTATTTAAAACACAAACTTGTATATATATATAGATGACTCCTCACAATTCAAGAGTCTATCCTAAATTGAGGTAAATTGTATGGCTTTCCAAATACCGTTTCGATTCCTAACATCACTGAAGAGACATTAATTGTCGAAATCCGGATATGGTGTACAAAAACCATTGCACCTTTTATTTGCGGTATACCATCTTTTCCGCAAGTTTATTGGTTTCTGTTTAGTTTTGAATTTATAATTAAGATCCATTTATTATATCGGTGATCCGTTAATTTGGCAATCGCCAATGGCAGTCAGCAGGGTTTAAGAACATTTGTTGTTCGACCTGTTAGTCAAATGCGTTTTGTTAAAATATACTTTTTCACATTTTTGGTCTTTTGGAAAATGTTGTTTGTGCTGTATTTAGACCCCTCTAACAAGAAATTTGTTTTGCATGCACAACGCAATGATAGGTTTGAACGTTGTTTTCAATTTAGACTTGTTTATATATATAATTATATATTGTTTTTACCTGTCATTCTGTTTATTATTGATGGTTTATCAGTAGAGTTCTTATATTTCAAGTGCATTATGGGATCTTCCTTAGGTCTGTATCTGTTGTATCCAGTAGCACTTCCATCGGGATGAAATTCGTTATCAAGGAAAAAACCGTGCTGAAATTAATGTAGCAACAACAAATAAATGTATGACAGTATATACAACATCTTAACCAATGGTAGTGACCTACCTCTATAGGCATAGAATATAATTCATCTCCTTGCAGACCTCTTCCTCTTCGTATTTTTCATACGAGTCGGAGTTCCTTCAGACTCTTGTCAAAAACATGTAGATCAAAGACGCCATTCATTTAATATCACATTCAGATATATTGATGATGTTCTTTCCATTAACAATCCAAACTTTTCGGATTGGATTCCATTAATATATACTCCAAAACTAGAAATTAAAGAAACAACAGACACGGCTTCCTCTGTCTCCTTTTTAGACTTATACCTCGAATTTGTCATATGTGGACATCTCAGTATAGAATTTATGACAAACGAGACGATTTTAATTTTAAAATTATCACTTTCACCCCACTTTAATAGCAATATACCAACTTCATCTGCATATGGGATAAACATTTCCCAACTCATTCGGTATTCAAGAGCATGCAGCAACTACTCAGACTTATACTATTCTTGTATTTGTCTTTAAAAATTATTATTTTTTCTGTTTAGACTATTTTTGGTAATATCCATTTGACGTGGCTCGGTAAGTATACATCTCATACTTGTTTAATGGTGCTATGGTAAATTGTTGTATTCTTGTCTTTCGTTTTCGTATATGTGCTTTGTCTATATGACTTTTTGTTTTTCTTTGTTGACATATTTGCTTGTTTTTATAGTGATTAAGATTATAACACAATGTTGACTGCTGTACTCCTATTTTTGACATTTTTACCTATTTCGTCTGTTTGTTTTGTTCACACGTCGTTGTCAATATAATGGAATTTAATGCGACTGGCATACAAAAGTAGAGGTTTAGCTAGTTATAAAACCAGGTTTAATCCACATTTTTCTACAAAAGAAAATGCCTGTTCCAAGTCAGGAATATGACAGTTGTTATCCATTCGTTTGACGTGTTTGAGCTTTTAATTTTTCCATTTGCTTAGGGACTCTCCGTTTAGAACTTTTACTCGGAGTTCTGTATTTTTGTTATATTACTTTTTGAAGATCTAGAAAACACATTCATCGAATCATGCATTTGCTTCATCCGGTAAAGAAAGTTGAACACACCTTTCTTAAATTGTCCTTTAATCAATTTTGAAATTATAAGAAACTAAGGTTTCAACTCCCTCAGTCACATTTGACCTTTAATGAATTTGGATATTTTTAGGTCCTTTTTGATTAAATAGCTCTTCAACTGTTTCGAATTTTGTACATCATTGGCTTTAAAATATTTGCCTCTGGACGTTTTTTATGAAGTTAAATCCAGAAAAGAGATTCGGACGCGTGCAATCTATTACATGTTGTTTTGTATATTTGACTGTTATTAAGGAAAATTCACGCTTATTAGTACATTTTAAAAGCATCTAGTAACAATTGTGTTTGATTCACTATTGTGCAACTGTCAGAATATTCCATACCTCATTTTGAATTTGGTCATTATTTTTAAATAGATCATGATAAATCCATTAGAAATAAATGCATGATACCTATTGCAGGGAGCACATTTTTTTTCTTTTCAATACTCATTGTGAGGTAAGTTCATGATAAAAGTTTGCCATCCAAAATGTAATTAAACACGTCGCAAAATAAAATATATAAAATAATGTAAAACCTATCCAACGGTCATTTTATCCCTAGACATTTTTAGAACATATTTCATGACTGCAAAGGTCAAAAGTGTTATTTAATGCGACTGTCATACAAGTGAGAGGTTGAGCTAGCTATAAAACCAGGCTTACTCCACCATTGTCTACATAAGAAAATGCCTGTACTGAGTCAGAAATATGACAGTTGTTATCAATTCGTTTGATGAGTTTGAGCTTTTGATTTTGCCATTTGGTTAGGGACTTTCCGTTTTGAATTTTCCTCGGAGTTCGATATTTTTGTTATATAACTTTTTAGATTATAACAACATTCTGGTACCTGGAACATGTTTAGACAGAGTTCAAGTATCATGATTATGTCTGAGTCATGAAGATACACAATACATCCATTGGAAACAAATTCAAATAGTATGTCCATTTAGTTAAGTAAAAGGTTCATCTAATTATCAATCTTATGCGGGACACAAGTTCTCTTGAATTCTGTATTTAATTGATACATCTTATATTTGCTTATGGTATACTCAATGAAAACCAATAATTCAATGAATATTAATAGTATTTACATTAGAAAAAATAAAAAATCAAGACGCTCTGTATTGATAATCACACCAACGCTGAACATTTGAATGTCATACAAGTGAGACTTTTTTTTATTTTACTCTTTTTTTGTAAACATCAGGAGTCATATGATAGATTTTAATAACTATATACTTAATTCAGTTAAAGGTAAAAGCAAATAATACCTTAGTTATGAGTTACTCTTGATTGTAGTAGTTTTATTAACTATAGAGAAAACCCTGATAAATCGTTGATACAATGATTGTCCTTTAAATTTTGTTATGAAAACCCGTAGAAAACAGATTTTCCATCCCTACCTTTTTATTTGAATGGGCAACATTGTTGTAGAATTCAGTAATAACTGTGCGTCTTGCTTCATCTTTTAACATGTATCCTTTATCAGCTGAAGGTCCTGTTGGAATGAGTGGATATGTAAACCAATATCCTCGTCCCTATATAAAATAAAAATTTGTGTATACGTAAGCTCACCAGTGGACGGAAGGTTGAATGGCTGCTTCACGTCCAGTGTACACTAAATGCATGTTCAGTACCTCAATATGGTTATGTGATATGAATATAAACCATGCGTTGTACTACATCGACACGATGAGTTGGTTTTTTAACGTGTTTTAACGTGCTTGTGCACAAGGTACCAGTCCTCCTATCATCCTACGAACACATTATTCTGACATCGAGCCGACCATTATTTGCTTATATCTTAAATGCCACGTGCTTAGAAACAGCAAATACCAATTTTCATGTTTTGACCTGACCGGAGATCGAACCCACGACCTCCCACACTTGAGCGAGAATGCTACCAAGAGATGACAGAGGTGGGAGTTGACAAAGAATTATTACAACCCTCAGAAAAATCCATGTTTCTTCACTTAAGATGTATGGCCCCACACGATAAAAACCAACTACGAATTAGGAAAAAATAGTTCAGTTTTTGAAGTTACTGATTTCAAATAATGTTATGGTTAAAATTTAGTTGTCATAATGACCACATCTTCACCAGTTGTATTGTAATCAACAATCAACAACTGAAATTAAATATCATTGATGCGGTTATGTTCTGTAAATATACTGTCACTCAATTGCAAATATTAAGATTCTTTTTCCCCAAGGGAGGTAATCATTGCTAAATCTTGCTTTATGAATTTGAAACGCCGTGTTTGATTTGACATCCAAATGGTTTTGATCCCAGCACAAAACATGAATCTGTCGTAGAGGTAACGCGTGTCTAATATGTACTTACATTAGCCAAATATTATAAGGATTTATTTTTTTGGTAACAATAAGGTCGAATAATTACAACTGCACCAGTCCTGGTATATTATATATTTGCATATAACACAAATTGATGGTCATCAGTATCACATACAAATAACCAAAATGTTCTTCTTTATTGTTTTTATTAATTTAAAATTGGTTGTTTATGTTGATCCGTTGCTTTCCTCTTATAGTTGATGTGTTTCCCTCGGTTTTGGTTTGTGAACCGGATTTGTTTCAGTTGAAGCGAATTGTGACTATTGAACAGCGGTATACTACTGTTGCCTTTATTTAAATTTTATCAATATTCGTGTAGCCGACAAAGTCAACCTTACATAAAATAACCCGAGCCCTTACCATACTCCAATCCCTAACCCAAACCCCTAACCTTAGCTCTAATTTTTAAACACTAAAATTGCTTTGAAAGTTTCGAAATACTAAAGATTTTCTACCCAAGGAATATATTACCTTAGCTGTATTTGCAAAACTTTTCGGAATAATGGGTGCTCAACGCTCTTCAACTTCATAGTTTAGAAGGCCTTTTTATCTTTTTTATTCAAGCGTCACATAATCAAATCATGGTATCTATGACGGGGTATTGCTCTGTTCCATACGAAAGTGATGCAACATGATAAAACTAATGTCAAAGGCTTTAACAAACATTCGTCACAGGACAGAAACAATCGGTTGTTCAAAGCATCACTAGTGACCTCTTTAATCTTGTTGGTTGTGATTTGGGTTTAACTTCTTTTATATCTTTTTGTTTCATAAAAATAATAAGGCAACTGGACACAGATTAGAAAGAGATTTGAGTGCGAAAACAAACACAAACATAAACACTAACTTATAACACAGGGAGGAACCTTAGCGTCATTGTTGTAGCGCTAAGGGACATTGTTCACAACTAGTAGGCAATATTGGAAGTTGGAAAAAAAACACAAACACTAACTTGTCTCCTTCCTCTAGAAGAGACGAGAGTGATTACAAAATGCAATGTTCAAAACACCAAGGCACATATCAGAAATTACCGCATTTTAAAGAAGTATGTTAAAAACACGAATAATCTACTCTTATTTACGATTTAAACATTTTCCCGATGATCCTATTGCATTAGGTAATGAACCAGACGTGATACCCAAAAATATCAGAAAAAGACATCAGGTATCAGTGCATCAATGCCACGTTGTCCATGTTGATTTGTGTAAATGTAACAAAAAAATGCATGAGACATAATACATACTATAGAGCACCTGTTGCATCTTTTTGGACGCGTAAAAAAATTGTTAACTACTAACTGTAATTTCATAAACAACCAATTTTAAATTAATAAAAACAATAAAGAAGAACATTTTGGTTATTTGTATGTGATACTGATGACACCATTAGTTCAAAAAAATTGCAGAAAAAAAATTAATAGAGGACTTGCTTAATATTCGCCCCGATATAGCAATATCCTGAAAGAAAGTAACACCTCAAAAAAAATTGGATACATATTTCAGTGCGCATGGCACGTGTTGATGAATAATCTTTATCAAATAGGCTCCAGAAAAAACGTATAGATTACTATATACTCAAAAAGTTGGAAAACCAAATATTAACAATTTCTAAATAGAGGCGGAAAATAACAAATTACAATATAAATTCATAAGCCATAACAGAATCCATGCCACAAAGTACATTCATTTGATAGATTTCAATTTTCTTATGCCAGCTGAGTAAACATTCTTGTGTTGTACTGTTACACCACTGTCCCAGCTTAGGGGGAGGGTTGGGATCCCGCTAACATGTTTAACCCCGCCACATTCTGTATGTATGTGCCTGTCCCAAGTCAGGAGCCTGTAATTTAGTGGTTGTCGTTTGTTGATGTGTTACATACTTGTTTTTCGTTCATTTTTTTGTACATAAATTAGGCCGTTAGTTTTCTCGTTTGAGTTGTTTTACATTTGTCATTTCGGGGCCTTTTATAGCTGACTATGCGGTATGGGCTTTGCTCATTGTTGAAGGCCGTATTGTTACATATAGTTGTTAATTTCTATGTCATTTGGTCTCTTGTGGAGAGTTGTCTCATTGGCAATCATACCACATCTTCTTTTTTATATAGACCCAAAAGGCAACGTACGCCTCATAACCATGTGCTTGAAAACTGGCCTGTTCAAACTGATAAATTGTAATTGTAATTTTTAAATCTATTTATTTGTGTGAATGCAAAATATTTTTTAAATGTTTAATGTTGAGTGATGAAATCGAATGTCGAATGTTGAAAACGAGTGTTGAATGTTGAAACACGAATGTTGAATATTGAAAGCAAATGTTAAAAAAAGACTGAAAAATAATGTTTAAGAAAACAATATTTTGAATATTGAATTTTAAATACTGAACCAACTTGACATTTGCGATTGTGAATGGGATTTTAACTAGTGCAGTGATAATTAAGTAAACATTTACCTGACCCCCTGCTGCTACGTTGTTTGTGACGTAACTAAGAGGATTTGTAATCCAGAAGGTAGCTGGTGCTCTGTAAAAAAAGTAAAATGGCGGTTTAACATTTTGCCGAATTTCTTCCTTAAGGATGAACTCAGGCGAGGTTTATGAGTTCTTGTCAAATGTTCGGACTTCTTGGGTTTTTTCTACATTACAGGGGAAAATATTTTGCCCCATATCACCAACTTTTTTCTATATTTAAGCACCCGTTGTAAACACACATAGTTTTTTCCTGAATAATACACGTTAAAATAAAAAATTTGAAAAATTGAAGATATGAAGATATGATTTATACTTTTCAAGACCTGATGCACATCCTTATAAAATTACCAAAATTGTTATAGAAAGACAAATGCTATAACGAGATATGTAAGATATTTACTTGTCAGCTATAATAAGTGTTCCTTTTTCCTGACCAAGCCCTAAGTTTCCATTTAATACCGTTCTCTTTTCGCCACCATCTTCTAAGAAATAACCGTGACCCTTTGTCATGTAACATACATTATCTTCCACCTAAATATATATAAAAAAATTCAAAATTTACCTTCATTTTAATGCATCCGATCTTAACAATAGATAACCTTGGATTAGTTGACAACAACCTTTCGGAATTTGGGTCCACAATTCTTTTCAATTTCGTATTTTATTTTGGTCTTTTTAACTTTTTGATTCATGTGTCACTGATGAGTCTTTTTGAAGTTAAAACGCGCGTCTGACAAAATTTTAAGTCTGGTATTTATGATGAGTTTAATATCGATATCAATAACTATTGTGATATTCGAGTATATTTAGAATACTATAAATGTCACTTGTATAGGATGAATTGCTTCGCTGCCGGTGCATTTGATTTCATCCCGGTCTTTTAATTTTCAATGCACTATTTTGTGGACTTTTGTTCGTCTTTTTTTTTTTTTTTTTTCTTTTTTATAGTGTTATTTTTTTATTCGACTTATGGTTTAATTTTCTTTTTTATTATATTGAAGTTTGAAATTTGTAGTAATTTTGACGTCATGTAAAGAACGCTGACACTGATTTTTTAACAAAAACTATTCATATGATCATATAGATGAATTAACTGTTTACAAAACATTGAATTGTTTGAAATACTAAGGATTTTCTACCCCTGGAATAGATTTTCGAACTTTTTGATTTGATCGTCACGACGTTAATCTGTTAGAACACATGTACAAAGCAATCACTTATACCGAACCTCTTCACGAATAACCAAAGGAATGTATTATTTAAAATTTATATTTCTTCTGCATATGTCAATTATTTGCTATATCATAAATCATGTTTAATTAACACTAGTTTTAGAACAAACATGTTTACATGTTTATACTTTTTTCTGACATAACCAATAACCGTACTTACAATTAGACCATGTGTTCCGTGAACAGTAACGCATCTGCTGTTGGAATGATGGATAGAGTTGTGTTTGATCCATGGCCTTGTAACTTTGTCTTCATCAACATCCTCACACATATGGAAATGAATAGGGTATCTGCCTGTAAGTTTAAATACCAAATATGAAATTAATTAATATAGAGATAATGAGATGTGGTATGATTGACTATAATAAAATAACATTAATGGTACCAATTTTACTACACCATATGCACATTTTGACAACTCATGTCTCTTCAGTGATGCCCGAGGCCAAAATATTTGAAGAGCTGATAAAACCAAATAGGACAAAAAGAACAGCCAAAGCCAAAGATACCAGAGACCAGAAGACAATTTTGTAAAATCGACCCAGTTTAAGTAAATGAAAAGAACACTTCCTATTGGAAACCAAATGCGTCCCCCTCTTTCCGACTTTTTCCTATATTCATATGGAGCAGATTTCATACAGGAGCTTATAAGGAAAAATTAAATCCAGCTAGCCTTATCCTTTAACTTCTGTGCTGCTATGTAAATTGTGTCTTCTCACTGAATTTTTCAAAGTTAGGTGACTATTATGAACGAATCCATCCCATCGAACTTGAAATAAAGGATACAACAGATAATGCTAAATAGTTATCAAAGTTACCACGATTATAATTAATGCTAAGTCTCCATCATATCTTGACATTAGAAATTAACAATGATGTTCGGCTTAGAACATAACTTTATGACAAAAGGGATGATGACAGCTTCCAAATTGTGAACTTTCCATTTCTATGAAGCACCATTCGAACAGCGCCTGCAAATAGAGAAATAGAGTATATATCTCCCAGTTGATACGTTTTTGTTAAATACCATGATTTGTCTTTTCTAAATCGATTTAAGAGATTTGAATGTCGGTAAACTGCTGTCGTCTTACTTTATCTGATCTTCGTTTTCAGGACAATTTCCCCACAGCATCTTGAAAAATGTAGAAAACAGAAGTTTCTGTAATGTGTCTTGCTAAACATCTAGCTATATAGAATGCAATCAAAAACATTTAAAAAAAAAAGCTATTCTTAGGTTGTTGTTACGTACCTAACACTTCTTGTTGACCTAGATCATTAAATTCTGCATTTTCAATATGAACGCTTTTGAATCCTTTCAATACCTGGATAAAGAGTTAAATGTAATGGCATTTAATATGAACACTTTGTTTCCCTATTTTCATTTTTTCCTATTGTGTCTGTCTGTTTTGTTCACGCATCGTTGTAAATATAGTGGAATTTGATGCGACTGCTACAAGTGAGAGGTTTAGCTAGCTATAAAACCAGGTTCAATCCACCATTTTCTTCATAAGAAAATGCCTGTACCAAGTCAGGAGTATGACAGTTGTTATCCATTCGTTTGATGTGTTTGAGCTTTTGATTTTGCCATTTGATTAGGGACTTTCCTTTTTGAATTTTCCTCGGAGTTCAGTATTTTTGTGATTTTACTTTTTTCGGAATCCTTTCAATACCTGTATATAGAGGTAAATGTAATGGCATTTTCAATATGAACGCTTTCGAATGCTTTCAGTACCTGAATATAGAGGTAAATATAATGAAATTTTCAATATAAACGCTTTTGAATGCTTTCAGTTCCTGAATATAGAATTACATGACTTAGTATTACAATTGATGATGAAATTAAAAAACAAAACAAATATAATTAAGTGATTTTAAAAGTTCTGCAAACAAATATTTTATTGTAATTTACCAGGAAGCAGACACTGCGAAAAAGGCGAAGCTGAATTTCTGGATTGGTTCTCAATAAATCGAATCAATTTTTAAGCTTTGATATATAATTATAAATTGAAAGTGCCTGGTACAACTTAATTGACTAATTCTGTGGTAAAATTATCATTTGCGTACAGTTGACAATTTCCGTCTGGACCAAACCGCTCTTACTCTTTTTGGAGGTAATGCAATTCCCGCCGTTGTTTTCACTTGATTACAAAGTAAAAATGGATTAACGATATCTAAACATCGGTAAAGTACTGTAGTGGATTGAACTTGGTTTTAAAGCTAGCTAAACCTCTCACTAGTAATTTTATGCACGGCTTGATATTATGTCTTTAAAAATTTTGAACAGAATTGAAAATTTTGTCTTGATCTGAAATAAACGTAGGAGAAAAAATGTCAAAGTAGGTACTTTCACGTTACAGTATAGAATTTATGCTTAAATGAGCAATATGACAGGTGCCACATGTAGAGTAGGATCAAAAACAACTTCGATCCTGCTGGGTTTCGGTCGGGTTCGTGTTGCTCGGTCTATTGTATTTATGAAATTTTTGTAAACTGTTAATTACTTTTTCGTCGTTTTTCGTGTGCTTTGCAATGATGTCTTCAGATTATCTTCGACTCGTGAGTTTTGATTTTCACTTTGGTATCTTCCGGTTCGTTTTGTCGTGTCCACAATCAGCTCCGATCCGCATATTACTCTACACTAACTTGATGGAGTAAAGGAAAAAATCACTGCACGAAGTTTGCACAAACAGGTACCCTTTTCTGTTAGTTGATTTCCTGGCGATAGATAATTTCACACTGTGAATGACATTTGTTTACTCTGTGATAAACTTACTTTAAGATTCCCACCATATGTAGTTGATCCTTCAGCATCTTCAGTGTCGAACAAAATGTTTCTGGTTAAGAGTCCAACTTCGCCTCTCATATCAACATTTTTGTAGATTTCGCCATAGTGAGTGAACTTTAGTGGACCTGCCGTAGATAAACGATACACGAGGCAATACTTAAAATGTGTTTGTTTCCCCTTTATGCTCTGCATCTACTATTATTGATACACGAATAAATTAGGATAAACTGTAAACACAGAGATATGTCTCACCTCTTTGTACTTTTGATAATGCAAATGTTGAAATTAAAATAGCAATACCTTAACATGTAAGTTATGCAAATATTCAAAGTTAATGAACCATGACTGAAGGTACATGGCAAAACAATCTCCATGGAAATGAGATGTGCCAATGCTAATACAAGTGCATACCAAATACCATAGACTTATCATAAGTCGTTCACAAACATTGACTTGTAAACTATGTTAAAGTTTCAAAGTCAATGAACCATAATGAGGAGTCTTCATGGAAACGATACTTGCAAATGCAAATAAATTTGCATACCAAATATCATTGACTTAATATTAGCGGTTCATCATATACTGATCTAATCACAAACTAGTACATGTAAAACTAAGCAATATTTTCAAAGTCAATAGCTATGACGAAGGGGGCTGGACCAAATATTCTCCATGGAAATGAGATGTGCTAATGCTTTACAATTGCATACCAATTAACATTGGCCTACCACTAATGGTTCCCCTTGAACTGACCTAATCACAAAATAATACATGTAAACTAAGCAAAAGTTTCAAAGTCAATAGACCATGACTGCGGGGGCGGGACAAAATATTCTCCATGGAAATGAGATATGCAAATGCTTATACAAATGCATACCAAATATCATTGACCTACCACTAGTGGTTCCCCATAAACTGGCCTTATTACAAACTAATACATATAAATTATAAGCAAAAGTTTCAAAGTCAATAGACCATGACTGAGGGGGCAGGGCCAAATAATCTCTATGGGAATGAGATGTGTCAGTGCTAATACAACTGCATACCAGATATCATTGACCAACCACTAGTGGTTCACCTTAAACTAGACCTTATCACAAACTAATACATTGTTGACGCCGCCGCCGTCGCCGCCGCCGACACAGGAGGCAGCATACCTATGTCTCGCTTTTTGACTCCGTCAAGGCGAGACAAAAACCAGTCAATGCTATTTTCCTCCATATCCATCTGCGTGAATTTATCAATGAAATGCACTTGATGGCAATCATGCAACCAAACAACTATCGCAATGTTTTATACGCGTAAAAGAGTTCTATAAATTACTTCACGTAATTCTTTTTCTTAACCAAGATACACATAATGAAAAAAATAAATAAAAGATAATGGCATTTCATTTTTTATACTGACTTCTTAAGCTGTAATATCAGCTCGGTATATCGGGCTAGATATTGGAGTTCGGTATGTTTTGTTATTTTACTTTCTTCGCTTGACATATTTATTTACGTCAGTATCAAAAACAAAAATGCAATTATTCTATCACTATGCAGTTTATCCATATATTTTTTCCAGTACATTTCTGTCATAACATATCAATCAGTACCGAAGTGATATAAAGACAATCAATAGCATGGTAAAAACATAACTTTCGCATCTTTTCACAAAAGTAATGCCAAAACCTAAAGCTTTAGCAATAATGACAATATCTATAATAATCAGGATACATTTGTTGGTGCGTCTATATGTGGTCACGTGAGTTTAATTGGTAAAGATACATACCCGATACCCGCTTCTGATTATCTCTACAGGACGGGCATTCGATGAGAGTTTTGTCTTCAGCCTGCTTCCAGTCATAGTCGGTAGATGCAATAACGACAGTATCTCCTATAAAGAAAACAGAAGATGAAACACATTTCTTCTTGAATTGTCGAAAAATAAACAAAATCGAGAGGACAATGTAAAGGGTATGAAAATTATTCATATCGACTTTTTGATATTTTTATGATATAATTGAAATTTAAGGTATGCTTAATCCCATACCTCATAGTCAAATAACATCAATAAAAACAACTGTTTCCTTTATAAAACAAGAAATAAGGTACTGATACAAACAGTTTTTAAAAATCTTAAAGTGAAATGATTTCGCCTTGTTTGCTATTCAAGAATTGAATGCTTCTTTTTGTAAATTTATTTGGGGGTAAAAGCGTTGACCGAAGTACATTTTGTATGTAGCGCGGAAGTGCTTCATTCTAAAAATGTGCGCACGCTCAACGCATTTACAACCCTATAAAATTACTAAAAGAAGCATTCAATACTTATAATTACATTTTTTTGCTAGGATCATGAAAACACGATTTGTATTAAGTTTTCTTTTATTTACCTGTGCACTTTATCGTGGAAGCACGTGTGATGATCAATGTTACATTTCATTTTGAAATGATGATTAATTTCAGAATGACGCGAGATTGCTGTTAGCCAATCAAAATAACGTATTATAATGAAACATACATGTAATGTTATCATTAGTACTTATTCAATCGATATTTTGCTTTCATGGATATAAAATTAGAGAAAATGTTAGAGAACTTTGATAGCTAATCAGGCAGCTAACAACCTAACGTCAAAGAATAAGGATATAAACTACTTCAGATCACCGTAAGGCCTTTTAATATGAAGGAAAACAACCGTATATCGTGTAATAAGCCTTCAATGCCCCCCTGGATAACAAAATGTAAGACAACTTCACATTTGTTTTTCTACTAAATTGATATAGATTTATGACTGAAACTACCTGTTTCCCATGTGCTGACATCTTCTATAAAAGTCAAAACTGGTCTGTATTTCAAATCGACTGCGACCAAAACTTCAGCTTTGGACCTTCCTTTCATTTCCATGTCAAATGAACTCGTCACTAGAACGATGAATCCTTCAACCAGCATTGAGACTTCGGCAATTGTTTTGCCTTCTGACTTCAACGGAAGGAATACCTCTTTCGTCATGGAAGTTGAGCCTGTAAATAGAATATGCCTCTTTTCATACATTTTGTTTTTATCAAAATGAACTTATTCAGAAAATCGAATTCAATCCTCGAGATCTGGGTTCGCAGTATCAAGATAGTATATTCTTACTCCAGTCTGAAAAAGACAATGTTGGTCGTAAGTAAACAGTACTGTTTTACCTTTGGTTGTAAGAAGAGCAGACATAGGATCACTAGTTTCGTTGAGCGAATTGATGTTTTACCTTTTGTTGAAAGAAGAGGGTACAATTATCCTGAGTATCCCTGAGCGGATTTATTGTTTTACCTTTGGTTGCAAGAAGAGCAAACGATCATCCTAAGCATCCCTGAACAGATTGATTGTTTAACCTTTTGTTTTGAGCAGAACGTACAATGTAAAACGGAGTGAGCTTTTATAGACTGTGCCTGTTGCTCAATCATATTCATATCTTAATGAATACAATATGACTTATTTTTTACCTTTTGTTGTAAGAAACACTTACAATGTAATACCAAGAAAGCTTTTATAGACTGTGCATGTTGCTCAACCATATTCATATCTTAATGAATAAAATATGACTTATTTTTTTACCTTATGTTGTAAGAAACACGTACAATGTAATACGGGGTGAGCTTTTATATACTGTGCCTGTTGCTCAATCATATTCATATCTTAATGAATAAAATATGACTTATTTTTTTACCTTTTGTTGTAAGAAACACGTACAATGTAATACGGGGTGAGCTTTTATAGTCTGTGTCAGTTGCTCAATCATATTCATATCTTAATAAATAAAATATGACTTATTTTTTTACCTTTTGTTGTAAGAAACACTTACAATATAATATCAAGAAAGCTTTTATAGACTGTGCATGTTGCTCAATCATATTCATATCTTAATGAATAAAATATGACTAATTTTTTACCTTTTGTTGTAAGAAACACGTACAATGGAATACGGGGTGAGCTTTTATAGACTGTGCCTGTTGCTCAATCATATTCATATCTTAATGAATAAAATATGACTTATTGTTTACCTTTTGTTGTAAGAAACACGTACAATGTAATACGGGGTGAGCTTTTATATACTGTGCCTGTTGCTTAATCATATTCATATCTTAATGAATAAAATATGACTTATTTTTTTACCTTTTGTTGTAAGAAACACGTACAATGGAATACGGGGTGAGCTTTTATAGACTGTGCCTGTTGCTCAATCATATTCATATCATAATGAATAAAATATGACTTATTGTTTACCTTTTGTTGTAAGAAACACGTACAATGTAATACGGGGTGAGCTTTTATAGACTGTGTCTGTTGCTCAATCATATTCATATCTTAATAAATAAAATATTATTTTTTGTTTTACCTTTTGTTGTAAGAAGAGCATACATTGCATCCTCAGTATCCCTGAGCGGATTCGTTCCATCTGTTTGTCCAGCTAATATTTCAATTGCTTCAAGTGCTCCACTGATGTCGCCTTTACGAGGTAAGTCTTTGTGTATTGCAATACCAACTATGTTGCCATTGGGTATACCTGTATTACACATACAAAATATAGTTAATACAAATAAAAAATGAAATATGGCAATAGGCATAGTAAGGTCACAATAAGTTCACGGAATTCTAAAATAAAATCTTTCTATAAGTCCAAAATATAATTCACAAAGACATTCGACTGTCGGATTTTTCAATGTTGTCTGACAAACTGCAAAACAACTGACAAAAAGACTCATTATGAGATCTTATTAGTTATTTTATATGAGCAATAGCCATGGCCGAAAACATTCTGCCACAAGATATCATACACAAAGATATTAACGTGTATAAAATATATGTTTGGTAAGGCCGTGGCTTCTGTCTAATTTTGTCAATAAAACTGTGTTTATTTCAAATATCAAATTTATTAGAAGTGATCCGTATGTATAATAACAAAGGCTCTTGATAGGGTTTACAGAATAAACAATACTGGGGTAAACTACAGAAAACTGGGCAAAAAAAAAAAATAAAGAATACGAAAAAAGGGCCAAAAAATAAAGAATATGGAAAAATTGGACAAAAAAATAAACGGTTGAGAAATATGGATGCACAAGTATACAGAATTGAGTTCAATGGGAAAAAATATAAAGAATAGAGAAAAATAATCTAAAATCTTAAAGAATACAGAAATGAAGGAACCCGCATCCAGCCCTGTTAAAACATCGGAAAGAATCAATAGTAAGGGAGTAGGTTTATGAAAATATTGGTCCTAAAATTTCATGAAATTTAACTTTATCAATCTAAGTGACATTGCAATGTAAAACTATCTGACTAATATGAATTAAACAAGCTCTTGTCCCATACGACTGTAGTGATCAAGAGTGTGCGATCTAACGTTGAAAATCAATATTTTCCAGAAAAATATGCCGATTAAATTTTACGAAATTTTCCTTCAGAAGGCATTGGCAACACGCATTGACCACCATAATTTTTGGCTATCATTTGTATCACACCGAATAAATCTTTTTAAAACAAATCTGTTTTGGTGGAAGGGTGTTGCCGATGATTGTCAGATGTAGATATACCTTAAAATGCAGTTAAAACAGAAATGAATAGTTCAAAATCAGTTAAATATCACACTTCTGAAGTTGTCAACACTGAAAACAAAACAGTAAACAGAAAACAAAACTTCTAAATTATCTTAATATGTAATTATTTGATGATGAATATTGATGTATAGGTATGATATTACAAATTCAGATTTTTAAGGACCCTGCTCCTTTTCACCTGGCTTACATCTTCACTTTTAACATGTGACCTGCACGTATCGTATTGTTGAAACATGGCATTAAAGGATTCTATAGTACTGTCACACATGTATATGAGGGTCTGGATGGGGTTAGCAGGTTACAGAATTAAAGGCAAAATTGCAGGATAAAGGGCAACAAAAATAGAGAATAAAGAAAAATAGCTGAATATTGGGGTTTTAAAATATAAATAATGGACAAAGTAGATAAAGGGACAGAGAAAACTAATTTTAAAAAACACTAATAAGATTACTGAATTGAAGGACCCCCATCCAGACCCTCCTTTATATACCTAACTTCAGACAGATTATACTTGCCAAATAAAATATATCATTAATCTTACCTTCTAAGAGATTTACGAATCTTAGGATAAGTTCTGGATATTTTCTACGATTGATCATAAAGTTGAAGAATGCTGAGTCAACTAGTTCTCCTGTAGTAGGGTTGATACTGTAAACAGCAAGTCCTTTACTATTAGTATTTTCCTGTAAAAAGATATCACATATTTAAATCAAATCCCAGAATCTTGGTACAGTTTTAGGTTCCACCACTGGTGTACCGATTAAGACTGATAAATAAATAACTTTTCAATTTTTATTCTTTCATTTTCAATTAAGTTGTGTTCAGATTATGTCTAGACTGTTCACTAGTTGTTATTAATAACATAAAAGGTACCAATTTTTCTGCACTAGATGCGCATTTTGACAATTAATGTCTCTTCAGTGATGCTCAAGGCTAACATATTTGAAAATCCAAAGCTTATTAAAACGATGAAGAGCTATAAACCAAAAAAGGACAAAAAAGTATAGCCAAAGCTGAGCAAGGAATCAGAGGTTTGCATGAGGGAGATAAATTCCTCAATTTAAAATAATTTCAAAAATTTTATAACAGCAAATTTTAATAACACAATATCCGTATTTTCATGCCAGTAACGAAGTACTGGCTACTGGGCTGGTTTTACCCTCGGGGACTATCAGTCCACCAGCAGATGCATCGACCCAGGGGTAATAATAACATAAACGGTACCAATTTTTCTGCACCAGATGCGCATTTTGACAATCAATGTCTCTTCAGTGATGCTCAAGGCCAACACATTTGGAAATCCAAAGCTTATTAAAAAGATCAAGTTTCTTTTTACTACTCAATGATGTTGTGCATTTAGCCTTCCATAAAATAGAAAAAGGATATTGTATCCGGAATGCTTAGCTAATCCTGCTCCACATTTCAAAGCGACACCCGTCGTGTTGATAATTAGCACTTATCTTACCATAAGAATTTACCACATTCGTAAACAATCGCCGGTCATGCAAATTAATTCAATCAATGATCAATGATCAGTGTACATATGTCAATGTGTTAAACATTTCACTTACCTGATGGCTAGCAATAACTTCTGTATCAGTGTTGAATTTTGGAGCGGTCTGCGCAAGCTTGGTCCAGGAAAGTTTTGGTTTTCCGTGAATTTCGAGTGTTCCACCAGCTGTAACAAATAATGCTTTATCTCCGCCAGCACCAAGATTGTTTTCTTCAACATTTCCTGAAGTAATCAATATAAAATGATGCAAAATTTGTAAACAAATAATATTTCGAAACGCTTAAAGAAAGGGAACAAGATTGTATGAGATGATGTCTTTCAATGTCGATTGTCGTCTTAGTGAAGCGATGCATTATCATTCGTGCACAGTTTGTCTAGGTACCGACCGTTCTTCTTAGGCGTGAGTATGTTGCTTCGAACGCATGAATTTTATAATGTGTTGTTTTCAATTTTTTTTAACAGCACTGGGTCGATACCTCTGCTGGTGGACTATCAGTCCCCGAGTGTATCATCAGCTCAGTAGTCAGTATTTCGGTACTAACATGATTTATAATATACTATCTAAAATTGCCCGTTTATAAATTTTGAAATTATACAGAAAGTAAGGTTTCAACTCCCTCAGGCAAAGTTGGCCTTCAGATGGATTTGGCTATTTTGTTAGGTCCTATTTGGTTTATAGCTCTTCAACGTTTTCGGTCCTTATACATCCTTGGCTTTCAAATATTTGGCTTTGGGCGTTCCTGATGAAGGTTAATCCAGAAAAGCGCTTCGAACGCATGAATTTTATAACGTTTTGTTTTCAATTTTTTCTTTTGCAAGGGTTTCAAAGTTAAATACATAGAATAAAAAGAGTCTTCTTCGGGAAAAAGATGTGGGTATAGCAATAGGGTCATTTCAGGCAGTAAAACGCTGTCTAAAGTTCATGTGGTGACCGTTTTGTTGCGCGGGATGTATATCATATCCGTGTGGAATGTGGACGTATATCCACATGTCGCGAGTAGGGCGAATACCATGCTCACTACACGTAAAAGAGCTCTTGCAAAACTCTCTTAGGGTCGGCAGGTGGCCTGTTGCAACAATAAACCTTTTCTCCATCTATCATATCCGGATTTATCAGTGGCAGCCTAAATGTACCGCCTTTTATTACGATGAACCTATCTTATGAGCCTAAATGTACCTAATTATTTATTTGTTTTCGAACTGAACATGCATGAAATATTTGCTTTAATTATATAATATAATTTATAATTCATGTCAAAATGCCAGATTTTGATTAGTTGCTCAGGAGGGAGACAATTTACTCTCTCCAATGGCAAATACTATATTACCCTTCACGGAGACTCTTTATCAAGTGTGCGCATTAATAAATAATGATGATTGTTATGAACAAGACGTCATAGTTAATGACTTTGAATTTGAAATTAAATCGACAGGAATAACAAAACATAACACATATCTGAGAGGATGATAGAGCAGATTGTTACCCCTCGCCTCAGTTGACAATGTTTTCTCCGGGTAACAATCTGCTCCAACAAACTCTCAGCTATGTCTCATTGCGTGAACCTCTGAGTGTTCACGCAGTATATATTGGACGACCTCCGTAGTCTTTTGGAACACCGGAAGTCTTTTCGGAATACATCTGTTCTTTCTCTGGCCCCCTTTGATATTCAGAATACAGCTTCTATTCGGAACTACATGCACAATAGCTTATTAATCGACCTATTGAATATGTAGTAGCATTTTAAAGTTGCTATAGAGATATGTGTTTAGTTTTAATTAGAGTCGCATATGTTAAGAAATTTGTTCTGATGCAAGCTGTGTTAATAATATAGATTTTAAAACTGCCTAATTTTCAAACAACCTTCATCCATAATCATTTTAATGTGAGTTGCACACGAATACAAGCTGCTGATATTTACATTACCTATATGCGTAGTTATTTTAATTAGAGTCAAACGTTGATACCAGCTGTGTTCAGATATAAGATAAGATTTCATATAAACAATGCGATATATATGAAACGAATACGCGAATTTAAGATTCGTTAAAACTGAAATTAAAAAAAAAGTCCATCTAGCATTTCATTTAAGATTCTACATCAAGGGAAGATGTACAAAACAAGGAATTTCGTTTTTTTTTAATACTGAAATTAAAAGGAAGTCTTTCTTGCATTTTAATAAAATTTTACGTCTAGGATAAGTGTAAAAAACGAGGATTTTTATAAAAATTTTCGTTTATTTAGGATAACGTAAAAATTAATTATGAAATAAAATTGCGAATGGATATGGGGAATATGTCAAAGAGACAACAACCCGACCAAAGAGCACACAACAGCCGAAGGCCACCAATGGGTCTTCAACGCAGCGAGAAAATCCCGCAGCCGGAGGTGGTCCTCAGCTGGCCCCTAAATAAAATTGTGTACTAGTTCAGTGAAAATGGAACTCACCCTAAACTCCAAAACATATAAATGAACTAAAATTTAAAAACATACAAGACTAACAAAGACCAGAGGCTCCTGACTTGGAACAGGCGCAAAAAGGGTTAAACATGTTTTGTAAGATCTCAACCCTCCCCCTATACATCTAGCCAATGTCGAATAAAGAAACGCATAGCAATACGCACAGTAAAACTCAGTTTAAAGGAGACATGACACGATTTTCAATTTGTGTTTCAAAATGTTTATTTATACTTAACTTTCCCCAAAAATACATCGATAGCAATATGAGTGTCAAATATTTGTTAAAATATGTATTTGAATGAGATTTTAATGCAACTATTTATCGACCTGTCAAATATGCATATTTCCATCCCGGAAGTCACTCAGAACGAGGCTACTACGTCAGTGGTTCCTTTCATTCATATTAACATATGGTACAGCGCAAATTTAGTTTCGATTATTATCCAACAAAACGCATGACAGTGATAAAAAAATGAGTATGTGTGATGCCGGTGGATTCAACAATATAATTAAAAAGAATATTGACATGATATTTTCTGTTTTTCGAATGGCACGCGGACTTAAAAGGTGTAAAGATAGGATTTGTTAACAAGCCCAAACTACACTTCTTTCCGCCCACTTTCATAAGGAATCCAGGGTCTTGGGTGCCATGCCATGAGTTCATCATAGGTTACAGGTGAACGGTACAGGTGATTGAGTTTCGCAATTTCAGGTCTCGTTTGAAGTTGCAAGCTTCAGGTGTCACGCCACATTGGGGATTGATAAGATATAGTTATTACGCAATATTACTTCATAAGCTCTTTGTGTACATCCTGGATGTTGGTTTTGCCGAGGGCACAGGTGAGATTGGAATATATTATTGTTACAGTAATACAGGTACAACTACCTGATGTTTAATGAATACCTGCATGTAGTACGACCATACAATACCCTATGCACCACCAATTAAATACCCTAACCAGCGTTGATAACTAATTATAGACAACCTGTATATAGTATTTTTATTGCTTTAAAGAATATGCAGATATAAAAAGGTTTATAACAGATGCATATGCAGGGGGATATATGTTTTGTGAGCGCCTACCCCCCCCCCCCCCCCCCTCCAAACGTGTGATAGCGGTCTTACAGCAGTACATAAGAACTATACAAACCAGTCTAACTCAAAAGATCGGTACGAAGTACAGAAACCACTTACGTAAAAACAATAGAGATAACGCACAAATAATGTATGCTAGATCAAAGCCAAATACAAATAATACATAATTCATGTATTCGAAGACTGAAGTATGTAACATGTAAACATTTTCATACTCAGTACGATTGAAAATTTAATATCTATTCAAATGACCCCTTTTTGAAGAAATATTAAGTTGTGAATATTTTCCTGGATTCAAGCATTTTGCTGGTAGCAATAAACAAATTGATTGCTAAATGATATTTGGAATAGAAGGGTGGAAATGTGTGAACTTGAATTTACTTTGTGTAATTCCTTAAATTTGAAGTTAAATTTATAAAGTTTGGATGGAATTGTATACGTTAGAAGTGTAATATAACTATATTAATTATTTCAACATAAGACTACAGTAGTTCAAGGTAAATAACATAACACGCGACTTAATCACACTACAGGTGCCTTCTTACCTTTCACCTGGTCAAGTACATGTATGCTATAGGTGTCAAAATTTAATTACTAATACAACAGCCTCCAATAAATGTTTTGTATTGTTTAATTCTATACATAAGGTGAGACGTAAATAAAATATTGAATTGAATTGTTTACATAAAAAGGTGGAAAGGAAAGTAATAAAATTGTTAATTGAATATCTTAATGCAGAAAAAGTGTGATGAAGGATTTGCCACTATACAAATCCTTGGCGTGATGTATGGTTTCCAACCAAAAAAAATATATGCATAACTTTTGGTGATAATTTATACCTATTAAAAGTCTCACCGTAACCAAAACAAAACAAAAAAACAAAACAAAAAACGTACCCTTTGCGAACGCATAATTTTACTTTTACTATCGTTTTTTTTTTCTTTTTTTTCTGCTTCGGGCGCACACATAATTATAAAATTACCGTAACAGAGAGAAAAAAGAACAATTTGATCATCAATAATAAAATTTATAATTTGAATCATGATTAGAAGTAGTTTTATTTGAATAAATAAAAAATGAGGAAAGCGGTTTATTAAATTTATTCGACAAACCTATATGACGAAGTCGATACACTATGGACGGTATTGAAAGCACTTTTCCCGATTACTGACAAACAACAAAGACAATTGACCTCATCAATTTGAGCCATTGCATGTGTGTGGAAAATAACCAAGAAAAGGATATTAATTCTTCATGCGAAAAGTCCAACAAGGACGATTTTTCAAACAATACCGATCGGATTGTTACCACAGTAAGAGACATTTTCCCAGCTTGTAACCACTGACGTAAGCGCGATCACGTGATCGTTATCTAATTAAAACTCATTCATTATGACAAGCGCTGGATTCTTTGACCTAGAAAATGCCGATTAATCATGTTTTGACTAGCAGAATTGTACAAAATATGTTTTAAGACTAATATTTATCAATTTACTGAAAAAATTAAAAAAAAATTTAAAAATCGTGTCACGTCTTCTTTAAAAGAAGTCCGAGTTCGATGTCAGAATAGGTAACAAAAGAAAGTACATTTTAGTTTTTATTTTAATTGAAATTGCAAAATGAGATAATTACAGTAATTTATTTTTGTTTAAATATTGCAACATTAATT